CGCTTTCCGTTTCATTCTTAATTACACTCAAACCAAACGTGACCACAGAAAAATCCCTACGAAGCTCTAATGAATTATACCCTAACGCCCCCATCAAGAACTTAGTAGGGTAGAGGTAAGGAAAAAAATGGTATCTTCTTTTATACAGATTTCTCAGGAACTTCTTTTGCACTCGTTCAATCATATCCCCATAATACCTTTTATGTAAGTTATAGGCTCAAATTTTAAACGATTATAGCCAGCTTCAAACAAAGAGTTTTGTTTATGATTTATTCGAACATACCTCAAACAACCGCCACCTAAGTTAGCCCACTGAATAATAAAATAATTTATATCTAGAGAAATTAGTCATATTAATTGTCTTATCATAATAATGTATAAATCTAAGCCAAGATTTTCTATAAACCTTTAACTGACCTTATATAAACCAGCTTCACCGCCTTAATTAGTATTGAGTCATTATTTGAATAATTTCCTAGGTCGTAAGGTGGAAGAGCAGTAATTATTATTAATTACTTCAGATAGATAAGTATGAAAAACCAATTACGCACATTTCAAAGGACTCAAAACCAAAATATATACTAAACTGAACTATACCTAAAGCGCTATAACCTTTTAGGTTAGGTCTAAGAAGCTTAGTGTGATCAGCAAGCCGAGACGGTACTTTGCCACCGCTTGCAACTCTATAAAGCGCAATTCGGCCCCACATGGAGTACTGTTCTCACATCTGAGCGGGATCTCCCCAGTAACAGCAATTTGAATCGTCAACGACCAGTCACTTTCCGTGCGGCTTGATCCCTTGGCGTTGCGTAGAGGGTCTCTCTGCATCTTCTACCGCATTTACCATAGATAGTGTTCAGAGGATTTGTTCGGTGTACTTGCAGCTGAGTTTCATCATCGGACGTCAAGGCAGAATACAAAATACCATGCGTATCACCTCGACGTTCGACGCTCACAACTGAGCGTTTTTTGAGGCAGTTTTCGCCGCGCACCACCACTATGTGGAACCAGCTGCCCACTGAAGTATTTCCGAACCAATTCGATTTAGATTCCAAGAAAAGAGCTTACCAATTCTTGAAAGGCCAGCAACGCACTTGCGAGCCCTCTGGCAATGTGAGCGTCCATGGGCGGATATCATCAGGTGAACCTCCTGCCCATTTGCCTCAGATTTCTGTATCTGATCCATAATCATTTCTAATAGGCAAGTAGGCGATCAACCTTCTGTGACATACACCGTCTTATTTTTGGTTGTATGGTGTGGGTTTTCTCGCGATGTATTCCTTCACCATACGAGCGAGTGTTAAATTCGCCCATAGAAAGTCCATTGGTGCACAGCCGAGGATCGAACATATGACCTCAGATATGTGTCACATGTTGAAACCATTAGGCGAAAAGGTTATTTACCTGCTCTACCCGTTCCATGGCAAGGTAAGGTTAGACAGAAAGACATAAATGAGAACTTTAGTTACAACAAACAAACGCAAACGTTAGAAGGGTATTGTATTTTAGTGCCAAATAAGTGTTTGGGGCCACTTATCACTTAGAGGTAAGAAAAATAGTTTCCGACCTATTCTCAGTCTATTTCACAAGGAAAGAAAATCGTCACTAACGTAACAAACTTTGTTTACACCTACTCCAAAGTGAGTCAGTGACGCATTGTATTTTTTGCAGGCGCTTTTTATTATAATAATCTTATATGCTAAGGGATTTGACATGTTTGCTAACTATATTTTGTGCTTTTTTAAGTAAGCTATATAATACAATAATTAATAGATAGAATAGTTCAAAAATCCTATTATTAATAACATAAAATCAATTAAACAATCCAGTTTCACAATTGTTAGAGCCGACCAATTCTGGTTTCGTTAGGATTTTTCCAAAGCGTATAAATATTAAAAACAAGTAGAATAACTGGTAACGAAGTGGCATTAATTATTGTCATAAATTGTATGTTGACAAAGGAAATATACTTGTGCAAGAATCACATTAATATCAGACAGAAGGCACCTTTTTACACTTAAATGTTGTATGTTTGTTATAATAGCTATTTGGAGAAAGTTAGGACTCCAAAAAACAGAAATTAAATAATAAGAGGATAAGCAGTGTAATGGTTAAATAGCGATTTCTTTCATACAACCTTAGAGGAAAAAAGGAATATGGGAGACAAACGGCAAGAAGTGCCCTAACATATTCATAATGTACTAAGCAATTAAAGTTTGGATGTAACCAGATAAATTAAGGAATTAGCTTGCATCTCATATGTCACAATTATCGCTATAAACTTTCCTCTTCTCTAATAAATACGACTTGAAAAAAGTTGAAAGAAGTCTACGTCCATAAAAAGAACTACATGAAACGGCAGAATAATATTTCCTACTGAGGTGTGGAATTTTTTAGCAAAACAAATGTTAAAACTATTATAACATAATTCACACGAGTTTTCCGTAAGATTTTCTTCCGCGGGCTATTGTCTAATAAATTTATGAATTAATAATGACGTCTAGTGAATAACGCAATTTTAATTGTAAGCAATGAAGCAAGTATAAATGTCCTTAGGTAGCCGTGAGATCTTCACAGTTGTGTCTAGAAACCTAGAGACTGCAAAGGGATTTATCTAATTTTGTAAGTGAACAATTTTATATAATCAACAATCTTTGTTGCATTAATACAATAAGTTTAGTCGTTAGAATTTTAATACAGTCGACTCTCGATAATTTGAAACTCAAGACACAAGAGGTAAAGTTCAAAATAACGAGCCACGATGGACTTAAGAAAAATGAGTGTTTATTCAAAATTCGTGATTTATTGTTTATGTATTAACAACTAAAGACAATTATTCATAAATTCATTCATTTCGAAAAGCCTGTATTTTTTTATTCGAGTGTATGACATTATATTATAGTCTATCATTGATCTCACCATTTTGGATTTGAAGCAGCAGCATGATATTGACACTTCGTAGATGTCGTATGATTATTTTTATATATTTCTATTTACTGATGAGGTAATTAATTTATATAATATATTTAGTATATTTAACTTCCAATCAAAAAGTTTAAAAATTTTAATATAAATAATTAAAATTATATTTTAATTTCTTCAATATTGTCAAAAAAAACAAATTGTCCAAAAATTGTCACGTTTTCGAGTGTTCACTGTAATTGTCGCCGAAATAGGTCAAAGTTGACAATTTGTATTATGCAACGCATTTTCGTACGATTTATTAATTTTATTGCATAGTTTAAAAAAAAAATACTTTTTTGGCTTATTTTTTACGATGTGGTGAAAAGACAATCTCAAAACCGTTCAATTGACAAAGCATCAAATTGTTAATAAGAAGTGATTCAGATTACATGCAACCTTTTTAAATTTTTATATTTACTATCATTAATTACAAACAAAAACATTTAATCCACAGTAACAGAACTATGGTCACATAAATAAAAGTATACACACTATAGTTCTCCTGTCCCTAAGAGAGGGAAATGCTCTCACGTCAATCATCACTAAAAGGCGATGATGAGGCACTGGTTTTCCACTTAGTTTGGTTTAATTAGTTGCCGGAAACCATACCATAACATTGCTCGGACATTTTATGGTTTTACTAAAAGTATATACGCCTTTCAGTAACCAAAAACTGGCCAATTTACTAAATAAAAGCAGTATAGTGTTCATGGGCTAAATATGCACTTGCTATCCAATAATTTATATCTAATTACGTACGGATGTTTTCAAGTAGGTAGTATAAATTACGATAGACATTTTATAAATATACGTTGTGTCAACTTATCTAAGCCTAATGTTCTGTGAGACATAGGTCAAATTAATATAAATACATACACATAAAGTGAAAAAATATGTTACGATATATGCAGGTGTTATTGCCAATATGACTTAAAACACTCTCTTTGAGATTTCTGTACAATCAAATAGCCTCATATTTTGATAAATTTTCAGTTGTTTTGCTATATTTTCTTTGCCAAACATACACCGTAATTTAGGGCTTCGATGAGATTATTTACTCACGATGCTTTCCTTCATTATGAGTATTAATTGCGCACATATAGAAATATGCATTGATGCATAGCCGGAGTTCGAACTTACGACCTCCAGGTTGAGCCGCGTCTAACTTTTACTAGGGTTTTCTATATTCCTCAAAAGTTAGATACCACGATAAAGTGCTTAGATATAACTACGACTTTATCACCACAGCTTAAACAAAATTATTCAATTTCAAAAAATTCAATTAAAATTGTGTATTGAGAAAAAAGTTTCAAACATAAGTAGGTGAAATTATTATTGATGAAAATAAATTTTATTTTTTAGACCATATTATACATAATATAATGTTTTTACAACTCATTAAAATAAAATTATTGTTGTTACAATGGAACAATAGAATCACAGTAATAATTAAAAACAATATTTACATAACGTCGACACGTTCCACTATTATAATGACTTTTTAGATTAATATAATTACTATATACAGTTTTATATTTAAAATAAATCAGTGGCACTACAACCGTTTTACGGAAGTGATCAGCTTCCTGTGCCTGACACACGCCGTCGACTTTTTGGGTCTATATGCCAGTTTCGTCACGATATTATTCTTCACAGTTCGAGCGGGTGATAAATGCGCACTTAGAATGAGTAGTAAATGTACACAGCCGGGGATTGAACCTATGACCTCAGGCATGAGAGTCGCACGCTGAAGCCACTTGGCCATAACTGAATTTATTACGTTATTATTTAAGTTTTTTTATTGCTTTTTTAAGCTCACAACAAAATATTAAAGATCCAATTTATCTTTGATCTACAGCTGTAGCTACTCTCAAGCTTGATTGGACCCTGTGACTTCCCAATTACATTTGCGTTATTATCCCTATTGCCAAACCAAAGATAAGAATTAGTCAAACATCAATATGCTACGTTTATGACATACGATAAACGAAGTTCACGGCACTTTATTAAACCAAACTATTCCTTTTTTCAGGAAAATGAAGTTAGCACTTGTCTTGGGTCTTTGCTGCCTTGCCTTAGCTTGGGGGAAACCGTCAACATACACAGACAAGTATGACAACGTCAACGTTGATGAAGTGTTAGAATCCGATCGCCTATTGAAAGGGTATGTTGAATGTCTGATGGACAGAAGCAGGTGCCCTCCAGACGCGAAGACCTTGAAGGAAACCCTCCCAGATGCATTAGAAAACGAATGTAAGAAATGTACGGCGAAACAAAAGACCAACGCGGACAAAGTCGTAAGGCACTTGGTGAACAAGCGTCCGGCTTTATGGAAGGAGTTGGCCTCAAAATACGACCCAAAAGACCAGTACCAACAGAGATACAAGGACAAGATTGAAGCTGTCAAAGAAGCATAAATGTGGTGGTTCAATGTAATTTTATTCCGTTCATTTATTGTTTTTTTTGCAATATACAAAAATTTTATTCAGTCGATTATTTATAAAATAATAATTATTCCAAATATAATGGTTTAAGTTTAAATTTTGTTTAATGTATCCTCTATCCTTCCTATCATACTTAAACTTTCATGATTCACTCTCATTACAAGTATACGTAATTGAATAAATAGTTGAAATGTTAAGAATTAAAAATAATAATAACCTCATTAAAACCAAGACATAGCACCGAAACCAACGTTTATATTGTTTTGAAATTGGAGCTTTTTTGCATTTTGTAGAGAATAAGCTTTACAGGGCTGATCGCCATGACTAACATTCAAGTATAGCTTGATTAGATTAACTGCCTTAAACTCGAAGACGGCTGGATCGATTTAATTATTTATTTCAGGACTCAGAGAAGATTTTTATCGAGATAAAAAAAATTGTTTTATTGAATACTTAGGTTTTTATTCCGGAAAAGCGAACAGTCTAGGGTAGCATAGCAAAATTTTCTATATAACTACTAAAAGGCTAAGTAAAAAAAATATAGTAAGGCAAAACAAATTACGCGAAAACAATGTTAATAATACAATTCAAATATACAACTTGATTGGACCCTGTGACCTGCCAATTACATTTTACGCGTTCCTCATAATTTAAAATTAAAACTAAAAACATAAATTATAATTTAAATAAAAAATTAACTAAATATATAATTTAATGTCACAGTAAATTCATATAGTCTTTCCTTATTCCATTGAATGCAGAAGAGTTGTTAATAACTATTTAAAATTCTGTCCTCGATATTAATTACTTATTTATTGCAACGTTATAAATCTATAAAGGCGTAGAAACATGTCTATTGGAGGGTCTATGGAAATTAATCACAATTTTTGTTTACAAGAAAATGAAAAGTATTACTTTCTATCTTTCTCTTCAAGAAATTTTTTGAATGCTTCCCTATATTTTTTCTCTCCATCATATTTATTCACGAGCTGGTCCCAAGTATCAGGCAGAGCCGCCATTATAGCTTTTATTACCGTTTTGATAAGCTTTTTCTGTTTTGGGGAGCATTTTCCACAAGATGACTCTAATGCTTCCGGTATAACTTCTGAAAACCATAACAAATTAAAAATATTAATACAATTTTCTTAGCTTTTAAATATGGTCATAGCTACAACTTGCAGTAAGTAAAAGGTATTTATAAACTACTAGCTGCTTCCGCGAACTTCGTTTCTCCTTAATGCCTAGCCAACCTTTTTAGTACATACCAACATGGAACATTTTGCTATGCTACCCCAGAGACTGTTCGGTTTTTCGGAATGAAAACTTTTTAGGTTTTTCTGTGATTCATCTCTATAAAAACCTCAGAATTCAAGTTATAAATTCTTAACTAACAAATAAAAAATAAGGGTTGATCATAGAGGGTAGATGAAAATTAAGGGTTGTATGTTTTTTTGTATTCTGTATCATAAAAAAACAAAAAATTAAAAATTATATCTAAAAAATAATAAACAAAATTGAGGTGAACACCCCTTATATCTAAGGGTTTGAATGATTGATACTAGCCGATTTTCAAACATACTGAATATGCATAAAAAATTCATAAGAATCGGTCGAGCAGTTTCGGAGTAGTATGAGAACGAACATAATTAATAATTCAGTGGCGCTATAACTTAAATGGGCCTTCTGTGTCTGACACATGTTATCGATTTTTTGGGTTTGAGACTTTACAACTTTTGCCTGCACCATAGAAGAAGTTGCTAATTCCAAACGTACTACACGTTTGGAATTATGATACAAGTAAAACTTTTACATACAGAAACAAAAGACGAAGTCATGGAAATCGTTATATCTAGTATTGTCTTTGATTTACATAACCTTTACACATTTAAAGAAAAAACTGTTTGACCGGATTGAAGTTATGTATTATTATAAATTTACAACTATTTAACATAATTTTAAATTTATCCGACGTTTCGCGTGCTTTACAGCGTGCGTGGTCACCGTGACCACGCACGCTGTTAAATAGTTGTAAATTTATAATAATACATAACTTCAATCCGGTCAAACAGTTTTTTCTTTAATCGTTATATCTATTTATCCAAACATATGAAGTCAATATACACAACATAAAAATGTCTTAGTTATTATCCCTATATTGTTAAGTTAAATAAAACTAAATTTATTGAATACGATTTAATATTCAACAATTATGGTAGCGATATCATCGAAAATTAAATGGTGCCTCCATTAAAACACAATCATTATTTATAATACCTACTTTTAAAATCTTTTGCTTCCGGTGTACACGGACCTTGGTCGAGAAAGCATTTGGAGTAGCTCACTAGTATCCTGTCGTTTTCTATTAGAGGGTTGATGTCGAAGTCGTCATATCGAGGGTTATAATAGTCAGATAAAACAGGTGTTAAAATATATACAAGAAAGCATATTGCGAGCATTACTAAAAATAACCCCACTGAGTCACTGGAAAAAAAAACGTTACCTAATTTACTGTTTTAGTGAGGTTCACTTGATATTAACTGATACCACTGCCCATTGTCAGAAGGCTCGCAATTGCGTTGCCGGCCTTTTAAGAATTGATACGCTCTTTTCTTGAAGGACCCTAAGTTTAATTGGTTCGGAAATACTTCAATGGACAGCTGGTTCCACATACTGGTGGTGGCAAAACTTGCCTTTAAACACGCTCAGTTGTGGAAAGACAGACATCGAGGTGATATGGGTGGAGTTTCGTATTCTGCCTCGGCGTCCGATGATGAAACTCAGCTGCAGGTATTAATCCGAACAACTCTGAACTCTGCATGTTACATGCGTTAAAAGATGCAGAGAGATCCCACATATCTACACTACTCAAGTAAACCGCTTGGAAGGATGTTTTTGGTGTGGTAGTTCGCTATTATTTTTTAGAAAATATCTGAATGCTTTCCATGCTTTCCTTATACCAGAAATATACCTAAATAAAAATTATGACACAACAAAATGGGACATTTTTGTGCCCCTTTCATTTTTTGCAGCAGCTTCTAATAAGTATCTAATTGGGATCTAATATATTGTTATTATTAAAAATATTTTAGCACGTTAACAACTATGATTTCTAAAATTCTTAGGATGGTGTTATCACTGCCGCGTAAAGTAGGAATTTAAATTTACTTTTTATCATTGAGACATAAATTAATAAGATTTTTCTTGACTTTGAAACATATATAGAAATAGGTATATAGTCGTCAATTCAATTAAAAAAAACTAGGTCCTATACTGTAAGATATAGTTTTTTTGTAAATATTTTAATCTATTACTGTTATGTTGTTTTGTCTATGATATAATTGTAAGTATATATATATAGCTTATTTTAAAAAAAAAACAAATGCATGTTAAATGTCTTACCTCAAGTTTCTCTATCAAAGAGGCTGTAACTAAATTGCGTAAATGTTCTGTGTGTATTTATAAAGTGCATTGCACTGTTATTAGGTGAATATACATTCGCTAAGTAATCATTATTTTGCGACGTCGTATAAAATGTACATAATTATTTTACATAGGTTACCTTGAAGACTCTGTGGCTTCGGATCGGGTTGGAATACAACCTCAAATTCAAATCCTCAAAGTACAAATTACAAATTTTAAATTGGGATGACCGCACCGAATTCTTTTCTTAACCTCCAAATCAAAGAGGTAGACCAAAAGCGGTATAAATACATACACAATTAGGCACCTTAAGTAGTCAATCAATCTGTTTCATAGAAAATTAATATAATATATATATTCTGGTGTCACAATGTTCGTTCCCATACTCCTCCGAAGCAGTCAACCGATTCTTATGAACATTTTTATGCATATTCAGTAAGGCTGAGAATCGGCATTTATCTATATTTCAAACCCCTAAGTAATAATAGGTGTCTACACCAAAAATAAAATTTATTTAGAAATTTTTTTTGTTTTTATTTTTTTATGATACAGCATACAAAAATACATACAACCCTTAATTTTCACTCCTCTACGATAAACCCCTATTTTTTATTATTGTAGATAGTTATTTTTATTGAACTAATAAAATCTTTCCTTGAAATAATATACATGGCAAAACGGCGTTTGCCGGGTCAGCTAGTATTTATATAAAACTATTTTTATATAAAAAAAAAATAAACCATGTGTTTGTGAAACATGTCAAATAATGCAATGTAAACATTGTAACCATTTTTGATAATTCTTACAATAATTGTTGATAATTAATTTTCTTTGTATTTATTTTTATTCGATTGCAATGCCGGTAGACTGCCAAAGGTCCACCTCTGGTGGGAAGGGCAATTGGGGAATGTTCATAGAACGTGATCCGAAAATATGTGCAGCAGGATTACCCTCTGCTCAGCCAGACGACAAAGTTTCTGATTCATTAGAACATTACTTATTGAAGGATGAAGTGGATGCTCTTATGAGTGACGCAATCTTTCCACCGGAACCTCCTCGACCATTACCACCTTTACGACACCCGATTCCATTAGACAAACGCTTCGCAGGCCCATTTGGTCAGGTTGCGCAATTGATAAATCCTCCAATAAAAACAAAATTCCAAACACTTGTGGATGATTTTAAGGATACCGCGTATACGTCTTATTGGAACAAACCACTTGCGCAGGTCCGTGATCCTGTGCCGATGCTTCCTGATGGTATGGATACCTTTGGCACCACTTTTGGTAAGAAAACACCATTTCATGGCAGGTTATATGATGTTGTAATGCCGAAAAACCCACAACCCGATAAAACACCCCGTTCTAAAGAAGCTGGAGTGCAATTAGACCGTGTTTATTGTTCTCCTCCGTATAATGGAGATGTAACATTTGGACACAGAACATTTGTTGATAAGCGCGGTACATATGCTAAATGTTGTCTTACTGACGATAGAGTAGTTCTCGGAAAAGGAGGCCGAACGATTTTAAATACACTTCAAGCTAAATATCTGGATGCAAATCAACCAAGAATTGGAAACGCTGTAACTCCAAATAACAATTTAAATAACGTCCCAGCAGGCTATGCTTTTGGAAAATTAAAACCTCCTGACAATTTACCGGCATGCTTATCATATTGTGAATTAAATCCAGAACGGCTTTTCTTCAAAAAGTGCTTAGGACACTTAAATTCTCTTCGAAAATCTTTATCAAAGCGTTTTTTGCCATCATTCTTTCGTGATTTCTATTTAAATATAAAATATTACGATAAACAAAGAAGTGGTTGGTTACCAAAAAAAGTTGTTTATGATTTGTGTGCCTTAAGACTTATTCGATTTGACTCATCGTTAGTAGAGCCTCTGTTGTCTATGTGGCAAGCGTATGATGGAGAAAACATTGAGTACAAGACATTTGTTCATGTAATAAACTACCGAGAACCATCGCCAGATCTATTAAAAGTGAAGGACGTTCCAGATGAATGTCTATCATTTTCAACTACTTATACAGAAATGGTAGAGCCTGGAAAAGAGGAAGACAGAAGTCGAATGGCCGGTTTACCATCGGGTAGGTACTTTGACATGGATTATCCAGTTACTCCTGTACGTTGCTGCCGAGCAGATAGAACTTGCCTACCCCATGAATCTGACATGAAAGCCTGTCTTAATCCAAGCATTTTAACTTTATACAATGTAAATCATAGAGATATGTATGCTAAACGAGAACCTCAAATTGTAAGAAGAGTTTTTGAAGCAGCAGGTGAAATATTTACAGATGAAAAATTTAACGAAATTTGGGAAAAAGCTAAGAAGTATCATTCAGCTGGTTGGGTCTGTTATGAAACATTTAACAGAGCTATACAATTATCTAATTATGTAGAGAGTAATAATACTGAGTAAGTTGGGGAGAATCAGGTTAAAAACTTATGGGTAGTAAATAAAATGCTTTGTTACTGTAACACACTTTAATATCACCTTGTTATATTTTTGTGTATAAAATATTTAGTTAAGAAATTCTTGGAATGCTTTTTGATACTTTCCTTGAGGATCGTAGTACGATACCATGTCTGTCCAAATGTTTGGATGCTTCTCTCTCACTTCTTTAATTAAAGATTTTCCTAGTTGCTTTTGCCGGTCCGTACACTTGGCACAGTTTGTTTCTAATATTTCAGGAATTTTATCTGTAAGGATAATTAAAGGATTATATTCTTTACTAGCAGACCCGACAGACGTTGTCCTGTACACAGATCTTAAATATATAAAAAAACATCGTAAATGTAAACGATTCTCGAATCCACTTGAACACACAAAAAATAGCTTTAGGACTTTAATTACAAATTAAAGATATATAAACAGTAACAGACAATAAAAACCTCAACGATATTTACAAATCAATCTTCTATCTATAATATACAGCAAAACATTGTATTCTTGTTTTTTTTATTTTACATGTTTTCCGTTTCAACCTTCCCTAAACTACAACGAATATATTTTCAAGCCAAATCAGTCCAGCAGTGCCCCAGATTTAGCGAGACAAACTAATTTTTATATATCTAATATATGTAGATATTCTCACTATCAATGATTTATATTAAAGTTATAAGCAAATGTACTCGTACACAGACTATATTTCGACATACAAAAAAGTTCCGAACTTCATACGAACTGGTAAGATAAGCTAGTAAAATGTTTTTTTCTAAAAGTGACATAATCTCAGTTATAAGAATCAATAAACATACAGTATTGTGTAATTCTAGGCAAACGTTTAATATCGATATTTATTTATCGGTGGTGCTAGTTCAATATATTTAATATTACAACAAACGAAAAAAATAAGCAATACAAAACATGTCAAGAGACTCAAGTAACAGAACAAGTGGTGGGAAAGGAAATATCAACATGTTTATTGAGCGTGATAAAAAAATATGTGCTGCTGGTCTACCATATTTAGACGATGCGTCAATTCCTAATATTCTTCCATGCTATCAGCTTCAAGATCACGCTGATGCTCTGTTACATGACACTATTAGACCTGAAAGGTCCTATGGTCCACGACAAATGTTAAATTACCGTGATATGCGAAATGCTGGAATGTTCACTGAATCAGCGGATCTAATTAATCCACCTATGAAAACTAAACATCAAACGTTGGTTGACGACTTTAAAAATACACAATGCCACTCATACTGGAAAAAAGAAGTAGGAAAAGTGCCAGATCCGAAAGGAAATCTACCTGAAGGCATAAATATATATGGGACAACAATGGGACATAAGTATCCGCCAACCCTAAGTGCTTACGAGGTAATATTTCCCACACAATCTATAGAAGATCAAGTCCCACGTTCAAAGAGATGTGGACTTCAAACTCAACGTAATTACTGCTCATTTAACGCGAATCAAACTTTCGGAAAGAAAACAAATATAGATTCATCGAGCAAACGAATGAAATGTTGTTTAACAGATGATAGAATATATGTAGGAAATAATTTAAGAACACCGATGCATTTTCTGCAAGCTAGGTTTAATTATAAAAATGCTGCAAGGATAGGAGAAACTCAAGAACCAAATAATAATATTGGTTGTGTACCAGAAGGGTTTGCGTTTGGCAAAGTTGACTCTTTAGACGGAATCGGAGTGCCCGAATGCCTGACAGTGGAACTGAATCCGGACCGAAAATTCTTCAAAGAATGCCTAGCGCATCTGAATACTCTGCGAAAGTGCATGTCTAAGCGCTTCGATGGAGCGTTTTTCCCGAAATTTTATTTGGAAATAAAATATTTGGATGCTCAAAAAACAGGATGGTTGCCAAAGGATATCATCTATAACACATGTAAATCAAAATATATAAGATTTAACGAGAAACTTCTTGAACCATTAATGTCTATATGGAATATATTAGATGAATCAAGAATAGAATATAAAAAGTTCATTCATATGCTGAATTATAGAGAGCCTGTACTCGAGCTTCCAAAAATTAGCGATATCCCTGAAGAAAGAATCGATTATCGCACGACCTATTCTGAAATGTGTAAAGAAAATGTAGAAAACACACAAAAATATATGGCTGGTGTACCATCTGGTAGGTATTTCGACAAGGACTACCCAATAACGCCTGACGGGTTATGCAGAGCCGACCGTGTGAATCTCCCTCAAGAATCTGATGCCAAGTCCTGTTTATCTCCAAGTATCTTGACATTGTATGGAGTGAGCCATCGTGATATGTTCGCAAAAAGAGACGCGAAAACCATAAGGAGGGTATTTGAAAATATTGGTGAAGAATTTACTGACGAATCATTTGACTCTATATGGAACAAAGCCCAGGAATATCACTCTCAAGGTTGGGTTTCCTACGAAACCTTCCGTCGTGCCTTAGCTGATAAAAGTAGTTAAGGTTATTTTGTTACTGCAGTAAGGATGTTTTTGTTTTCACTAAGTTAATAAATAATTCATTTATTTTTATTTATTTATTCACACTTCGTTGCAATAAAAATAAAAGTATCAATCATCACACAATACATAAAAATTATAAGGGATGCAACGGGCGGCCTTATCGCAAATAAGCGATCTCTTCCAGGCAACCCTAATAAGAGAAAAACTAAAAAAGGAAACATGATGAGTGCAAGAAGTGCAGAACCAAATGTTATATAAAAAAAATAAAGAACCTTAATCTAAAGTAATACAAAAATAAATAATAATAACAATCTAAAAACATAAAAGCTAATCTTACAGATTCATGAATAGCGAATAGTGATGCAATACAAAAGAAAAGGAAACACAAGAATTACACAAGTCACGATTGATCAGGATAGGATAAGGTTAAGAAATAATAATACTTACCCTTCACTCGCTTTATTTCGGGAGTACATGGCCCTTTGTTTATCAAACATTTAGCGTAAGCCAGTAATAGCCTATCATTATCTAAAACTTCTGAGATATCAATATCGATACTGTCATATTTGTCCTGCGCATAGGCAAACATAAAGAAACAAAATAGCACGATTAGTTTCATATTAGTAGTGTTAACTATCTGATCTTGATCTTTGCGCGATCAGACTTATATGTGTTTTATAATGCTATTAGAATATTAATAATGATGCGTCAGTAATCCAGTTTAACACCTCGGTGCTTTGTGGTCAACGCAAATTATAGATCAGCCTTGTTCTAAGAGCGATCATCTACATAGTAGGGAATGGAAAAATACACAACTCCATAATGTGACATGTTTATTCATTAAATACTTAACTAAGGCATTACAAGGAAGTAAATAATGCACTGTTTCAAGAATCGTCGTTATATTATACACATTTAAATTATGTTGAGTATCGGTGATTTTTAATCTTCAGTAGCGATTGCTATCCCGATTTTAAACGTGATTCCTGTCCACAACTTTATTGATATAGGGATTATTAAAGTCAGGATCGTTTTAAGTGTCGATTAATGAATTATGGTCTTAAAAGGGTTGGCAATCATTAAAGTTACTTTCAACACTTTTTGGATGATCACACATTTAGAATTTTTTGCTCGATTATTATTTAGATGATCAAGTATACAATAACAATATCAAAACAGTACATACATTTGGCTTACAATACAAACTAGATAAATGCATTAATGTTTGAGCATTTTAACAAAATTGATTTAAGAATTGCTCCATATATAGTCATCTTAAATTCCTATCAAAATCACTGGGCTTTAATCGATTTGGTCTTGTCCATACAATGTAATGTACATACATCTCTAAAACGTGAGACATTTCCTTCATCGTCCCTATATAGAGATTACACTGTATATATAATGAGTAGTGATTAACTGTTGGCGACAGGCCATTGTTTATTAATTAATTGTTTATTTAAATAAAATTTCGGTAGGAAGCTAGAACTTGTTACAATAAATAGAATTACTTTAATTTAATTTTTCTTCCATCATATTTATGACTCATAAGAAATTGATGCATATGCCAGTTCGCGGTTGGTTTCCACTTCGAGATTATATTCTAGGGTATGTAAGGACCATGACTTCAACTACAAAACCCATTGTTCATTGTTAAAGTAAAGTTTACACAATTGTTATTTCTTCTAATTCCCAGTAACTAAGAAGTTGTAGAGAGCCTCTCTGTTTATCGCGGTTGGGTCGTACTTGTCTAATAACTCAGTGAATCGAATTTCACTCTTCGACTGTATACCGAGTAGCATTTTCCTGACAACCGCCTTCTGTTTTTGGGAACACCTCCCGCAGGCTGTTTGGATTGTCTCAGGTAGAACTCCTGTAATAATTATGAGAAATTGTGAATTAAATTGAATTGTTTTAGTACTTCAATCCATATTTATAAAATTTTCGTTCCCATACTCCTCCGAATCGGCTCAACCGATTCTTATGAAATTTTGTATGCATGTTCAGTAAGTCTGAGAATTGGCAATTATCTAACTTTCACCCCCTAAATGTTAAGGGTGGTCTACCCCAAAATTTTATTTTTATTTTTTTGTTTTATATTTTTTTATGATACATAATACAAAAATACAAATACAACCCCTAATTTTCACCCCTCTAAGATTAACCACTATTTTTTATTATTGTAGATAGTTATTTATATTGAACTAAAAAAATGTTTCATAGAAATAATATACATGGCAAAACAAAGGTTTGCCGGGTCAGCTAGTAATACTATAAAAATAACACCCAAATGTACACTATCGCATTAGCTGTTAACTCAAATCAAATCAAATCAAAATACGTTTATTCAATTTAGATGCTTCTTAGAGCATGCTTATGAATGTCAACAACGTTTACAAAATTCACGAAAGAGCAAGACTACGCCATCCGTTCGCAAAACTACCAGGAGGCCTTGTTCTGAGAAGAACGGGCAAGAAACTCAGCAAGTTTTTCCCTCCCTCTACATTACAATTATTCAAAGGAAAATGTCATAAACCACAACGTCATTAAAATTACATAAGTAAAAAAAAATAAAAAATCTGTTCTGTGATTTACCACATTCACCGTTACACACATATTCATAACACTTCAAAGATAACAAATCAAATTATAAGAATATAATTAGAACTATTGCCAAGCGTTTTTATCTTCCAGGTAGTCATTGACTGTGTAGTAACCTTTACACATTAAGGTTTTTTTGATGTGTGTTTTGAATCTGTTTAAAGGCAGTTCCAATATTTCACTAGGAATCATGTTATAGCAGCGTATACTTAGGCCCATAAATGAAGTATTTATTTTCTGCAACCTGTAAGACGGCTGGAAAAGTTTTCCCTTATTTCTTGTATTCCTATTGTGAATGTCGCTGTTCTTTAAAAGAGAACTAATATTACTACGCACAAAAACGATACAGTTGTAAATATATTGGGAAGGTACCGTCAAAATATCGATTTCCTTGAACAAATTTCTAAGTGAAGTGCCTGGTTTCAAGCAATAAATTGACCTAATAGCACGTTTTTGCAAGATAAAAATAGATTGTATATCTGCTGCTTTGCCCCATAAAAGAATTCCATACGACATAACGCTGTGAAAGTAACTAAAATGTGTGTGTTACTATGTGTGATATTAACTAAACTAATAGAAAATCAATTATTTTGCCTAATTTAATAGCTAACCTGGCAATGAGAAAAAGTTATGCATAATACAAATTAAACTTATGGAACATTTGTAAATTGATTATACTGAAACTTAACGGAACTACATTTTCTTTCTACGTTTATGTGAGTTATATTGATTAAAACAATCCAATGAAAATATATTATGTCGTTGTATGAATACAATGATACTTAAGTATTGCTCTTTAAAAGATAAAAATCGCTTTCTTTTAGACACACATAAAAAGGCTGGTGAAAGTCAAGAATTGAATACAGAGAAAGCAGAGTGCAAATGGACTTTAAACGATATCTTCTCTATCATATATAATGTAGAAGATTATCTAACTAAGAAGAGAACTTTTTAGGGCTATTTTAATGCGTTTACAAAGTATTTTGACTTTCTGTTTTGCTACATTATTTTTATTATTATGAGTATGGAACACTAACAAGTATCTTGTAAAATAAAAAAAAAACGTGTGTGTACTTTAAATTTACACGCGTTTATAGAAGTTATACTTCTTTGGCGTAACAAAATAAAAATCTTTTCCAAATTCTAAGTTTGAAGAAAAAATGTCACTAACAATAGAAAAAATGTGTTTAATACATTAATATTATAACGCATTATCTAGTTAAATAAATTTTATATAAATATCACAATAAAACTAAAATGTTGACTATAGCTAACTTCAGGGTGTCGGTTTTTGTGACGGTGTGCGCGCATCGTAAAAATTTACTCTCATAATTTTCCCCAAACGCGCCAAAAGAAGTTCAAAAAAATTTTTTTTTTAAGTTTTAAATAACAATAATTCAATGAATATAAACACCATATACATGACTTGACATTTCGCTTGTTTTTTAAATATCGATGATAAGCGAGAAAGTATATATCAACGAAGTTTTTTATATATAAACTTAAATACGCCTACCAAAATATAAAAGCAAATATGTGACATCACAATACTTACGTTTAAAATTCTTTCCGTCCTTAGTACACGGTCCCTTCTCCATCACACACTTGTAGTATGCCAATAGGATCCTTTCGTTTTGAATAATTGAATCCGCATTGAAATTATCATATCGGTTATAAGGTTGTTGTTGAGAGAATGAGGAGACCACCACCGTCAGCACACATGTTGCTAGCAACCAGAATCTCATGATGACCTGAAAATGTAAATCTAATATATAAAATTCTCGTGTCACAATGTTCGTTCCCATAATCCTCCGAAACGGCTCGACCGATTCTTATAAATTTTTTTATGCGTCTTCAGTAAGTCTTAGAATCGGCTACTATCTATATTTCAAACCCCTAAAGGTTAAGGGTTGTCGACCCCTAAATTTTTATTTTTTAGATAGTTTGTGTAATGATACAGCATACAAAAATACATGCAACCCTTAATTTTCACCCCTCTACGATCAACCCCTATTTTTGTTTTGTTAATTAAAAACTTATGACTTGAAGTCTGAGGTTTATATAGAGAAAAATTCACAGAAAAACCTAAAAGTTTTCATTCCGGAAAACCGAACAGTCTCTGGGGTAGCATAGCAAAATGTTCCATGTTGGTATGTACTAAAAAGGTAGGCAAAGTAAAATCACATTAAGGAGAAACGAAGTTCGCGGGGGCAGCTAGTACTTAAATATATTTATTTTAGATAGATATATATGTATTTAGATTATTTATTTTGCCTTTTAATTAAAATAGATTAATAAAATAAATGCATTAGTTTTATTTATAAATAGTAGAATATAAAATTTTATGTAAGTTACGAAAGTAGCAACTCGTATAAAAAAGTGACGTTCAAAAAAGTTTTCTTACAAGTAACTGCGTGCGATTGAAAAAATAACAAACAAATATTATAATTACAATTTTAGCATGTTAGCATCTAGCAGGATAATTGTAAAATATTTATGATTAAACTCAATTAAATCCATAAATAGTGGTAATATATTAAATAAAATTTATCAATGAAAATAAAATCTAAATGTTAACTTACTTTTGTTGTTAATAAAATAAAAAAAGCCGCAAATTTACAATATATTAACGTAGACAGATAATAATTTTAATACAAGTTTAAATTGATTCCCGTACTTACCGAAGAAAGTGTTCCGAATGACGCACAAAATCGTTATGGTTGTTTCTCGGTGTTCACAATTTCTCTAAACCTGTCCTGGGTACCAAGACAAAGCATACTTTCGATTTACCTACCTACACGTTGGCGAAGGATGTTTAAAAGCTCTGGCTTTTAATCGGCACCAAAAGTCAAAACCGGACAGGTTTACTCTTCAATGTGTATTTGTTTGTATCAAGCAATAATTCCTCCGTCCATGGATTTGGATAATCAAATTTAAATTATACAAAAACTAGCCGAATAGGATTTTGTATATAAAACTTATTAACACTTAATACAACTCTTAGAACCAGTCTATTCATTACAAATAAATAATCTTGTAATTTAACTGTATATTCTAATGTTATATAAAGAAAAGATTCCTATTTTCCTTAATAGTGCTGAATCCTGGACAATACGAGCTTCAGAAATCAAGAATGTGTCCGAAGAAGAAGATAAACAAAAGATGATATTGACTGTCGGTGATCTTTTTAAGATTATGAGAGAATTTGTAAAATAATAAAATAGATTATAACACATTTTATTTTATTATTTTTTATTGTGACGATATGTACGAGGTGATTATATGCACCTCAGCAACTGAGGGTTTTTAGGGCACTTTGTGCGCACCACCAATTTGTGGATCCTGCCCACTGAAGTATTTACAAACCAACTCGACGTAAGGTCCAAGAAAGGTGGGTACCAATTCTTAAAAGCCGGTAACGCACTTGCAAGCCTTCCTAGAGTGTCCATGGGTATCACTTAACATTAGATGACTCTTCTGCCGTTTTCGACAAACGGTTTTATGCTCCATTTTTTTATTTTTATTTTAAGCCTTATCTTATTTCCTAATACAAAAATATCTAATTATCTCATGTGTTAGTGAATATCTTTTAAAGTTAGTATGTATCAGGAACCCTCTCCGGTAAAGGCCTCCTCCAAGGCTTGCCATCTTTCTCTATCCCGAGCTATTTGGACCCAGTGAGGACCCGCGATTTTTTTGATGTCATCATCCCATCGAGCGTAGGGTCTGCCTCTGTGTCGTTTGCCTGGTGGGCCACTCCATGTAGTTACTGTTTTCGTCCACCTATGATCTGTGAGGCGCGCTACATGACCCGCCCACTTCCACTTCAATTGTTTTGCGTGGCTTAGAGCATCAATTGCTCTCGTCTCTTGTCTAATTTTTATGTGTCTTATTTTTTGTACCTTTTTAATATTTAGCATGCTCCTTTCCATGCCTCGTTGACATGTATTTATTTTATTTTTTGTTTTATTTGTAAATTTCCATGTTTGGCATGCATATGTCAGACATGGCAGAAGGCATGAGTCCATAACTCTCCTCTTGAGTCTGATAGGTATATCACTTTTAAATATTTCTTTGCAACTCCAATATTTATTCCACGTACTTTTAACTCTTGTCTCTGTTTCTTGATCATTTCTGTCGCTACTGAATCCAATTTGTTTGCCCAAGTAAATATATTTTTCAACATATTCTAACTCGTCATTCCCATTTTTATCGTAGATCTTATGTAGTTTGTCATGGCTTTTGTTTTTGATATATTCATTTGCAAACCTACTTGTACGCTAGCCTTGTGTAAGGTTTCTATCATATTTTGTAATTGGTTGCTTGTTTCTGATAGCAACACTAAGTCGTCTGCAAATCTTAGATGGTTCAAGTAGTTGCCTTGGATGTACAAGCCTTGTTTTTTCAGTCTAGTTTACTTATGATCGATTCTAATATTGCAATAAAAAATTTTGGGGAGAGTGGGTCACCTTGCCTGACACCTCTACGCACTGGAAAGCTTGGTCCTATGGTTTCTAGCTTCACTCTACTAGTGCTGTTTTCGTATATATGTTTTAGTATAGTTATGTATTTTAAGTCCACATTTTGTGCTTTTAGTGTTTCCCATATACTTTCGTGATACAGGGGTCTTTGTTGCTCTTGATATTTTTCTATTATTATCTCTAATGCATGTATGTGGTCAACAGTAGAGAAGTTTTTCCGAAAACCAGCTTGTTCCTTAGTTTGATGCTGTTCTAAGGTTGCGCTTATTCTGTGGTTTATTATTGTAGAGAAGATTTTATATAAACTTGGTAGTAGACTTATAGGCCGATAATTGCCTATATCTTTAGGGTCTCCTTTTTTGTAAAGTAAGATAATATTAGATTCCGACCATTGTGATGGTATATGGGTTGTTTCCAATATCATATTGCACAATTTTGCCAGTGGAAGAGCCAGTATGATACTAGCTGTTTTGATTGCTTCATTTGTAATATTATCTGAGCCTGGGCACTTGTCGGGTTTTAGTTTATTTATAGTGTCTATGATTTCCGTACATTGTATCGGCTCTATGGGACGTTGTAGTTCCTCGAATTCCACTTCTTCATTTAGAGACTGACCGCAATCGCTATGTGTGCAGGGTGCGCTATATAGGTTTTTCTAGAAGTCAGTAGCAATGTTGATAATGTCTTTTCGGTTATACGTTACTTTACCAGACTCTTTCAGGCCTTCAATCCACGTTTTCTTTGTTCGCAACTCTTTATATCCTTTTTTTAAGCTTCCTTTTTGTTCTAGATACTTTTTGATTACCTCAGTTTTGTGTTTCTTGTAGTCCATTTTTATATATTTACTTGATAATTTGTATAGAGCCTTCAGTTCGTTTTTCATGGATCGAGTTTTGTTTTTAGTTTTCTGTTCGTGTCTTCTACATAAAAGTCTTCTTGTACGCTCGGTTAGAATGCTGCGGTCTTTTTTTGTATGGGTGGATTTATGTACGTCCTGCAAACTTTTTGTAATAGAACTTGTTATTTTATCATAGTATATTTGCACTGTTTAATAGAACTTGTTTCGGATTTTATCATGAAGCCTCCCCCCCCCGTTTGTCTCCCCCCCCCCCCCCCCCCCCCCCCCCCCCCAGATTTGCTACATTCAGCCCCTATTTATGAGTTACAGAATTGTAGGTCAGGACGAGATAAACAAGTTTTGAGATTTTCCTGGTATATTTTAATTTTTTCTTCATCATTGAGTATGCTTCTTGGGATATTCGTGTAGTTTCGTCTACTTTTTATTGGTTTTGAGAGTGATATTTGGGCTCTGAGTGGACTGTGGTCTGATTTAAAATTTATACTCAATGTCTCTATATTTTGAAACATTTGTGGGTGATTTGACAGTATATAGTCAATTTCGTTTTTATATTGACCAGCCGGAGTCCATCTTCTTTTGACTTTTTTCTTATAGAAGGTGTTTACAATTGCTAGTTGATTTTCCTTTTTCATTTATATTTCCGAGGCGTCGGACTTCCGAAATACCAATTATATCGTATTTTATACCTTCTAGCGCTTTCTCTATTTCTAATATTTTTTCGTATGACGAAAGCGTTCCAACGTTATAAGTTATTATATAAAGATGGTGATTTACCTTCGTTATCTTTTTCATTGCTTGTTTTGTGTGGTATGATGATGATGTCTTTGATGATGGGTTTTGGTCATAATCTTCCACGGTGACCAGCCGTTGGTTGTAATTCTACTTGCGGAGAGTTTGATTTATCTCTCTTCCTCTTGTCTATGGCCCTTGAATTCTCTTTGACAATAAGTTTATCATACTTTATGAACGTTAAGTTTCCTTTCTGCCTTTCTTCCATTAGTTTGGGTTGCAAGGACTTCCGTATTTCCAAGGTTTCTTTTGAGTAGTCTTCTGTTATATATAACTCCTTTAATTTCTTTTTGTTCCTGATAATGTCTGCTCTTTTCAATCCACTAACTAAAGAAAGGAGGGTAGGCCTAGGTTTTCCATTATTATTTTTTATGCCAATACGGTAGATTTTATTTATTTCATAATTTTCTAAGGTTACACCTAGTTCATCCAAAAGAAATTTTTTAATGCACTCGATTAAATCCAACGTTGACTGCTCTCTTTCCGCCAAACCGTTGATTATTATATTATTGCTTTTCTTATATCTTTCTAGATGCTCTATTTTATTTTCCAGCTTTTCTACTTTACTTTTCAATATTTGGATTTCTTCGAGGACAGGTCTTAATTTTTCCTCCAT